ATACTTAATTTATTTTGTCGAATTACTTTTTTCTAGCTTTTAAGATTTTAGGCTTTATAAAGATTTTAGCCTTAAGCTAAATAGATATATATACAAACGTATGTGTGTACAATTTTTTAACATCATCAATATATAACATTACAAACAAATTCAAAAATATAAAATCCGAAATATAGAGATATTATTAATAAATACAAATACTTGCATCTTGCATCTTAATATTTTACTATAATATAAAATCGTTGAAAGTTTTCTTATTCTTTCGAAATCTCTGTATCGTGTGAGATATGCTGCTTATTTTCAGAATTGGAGCTTTGCTGTTAGAAGAACCTGCTTCACATTCCTCAACCTTTGTATATACTTGCTCATCCTCATCCAATTCATCTGACTTTAGGTTTTGTACAAATTCGTTTTTAGATAAATTAGAATAAACGTTTTCATTATTTAGAACATTATTATCACTGAAATAGAAAAGAATAAATAAATTATTCTTAATGTAACATCATATATCAAGTATAAAGATAGTAACATGATTTACTATACTGTACCTTGCATTGTTTGAAGATATTTCAGATTCTGTCTTTATGTGTAACTTTGGTAAGTTTATTGCATTGTAAAAACAGATCACAGATTGGAAAGCTTTTACAAAATCAATTCCAACTGGTGTAGCAGTATTGATGTGAAACAATTCCTCACTGAATGGCTTTGTAGCAATATACTCTATACATGAAAGATAATTTTTCATTTATTTTCAATATTTAACTTTATTTATTGAAAAAAAGGTAATAAAATGGCACACTAGGATACACATACTCCTAATCAATTCTGCTCCTTCTGCTTTGTATTCTGCAATTTCTTCATCCTTCCGCTTTATCAAATCCAACAGAATTTCATGTCGACGAATTAGTTCCATTGATGACAAGGAAAGAGGCATAGTTACATTCTCCCAAAATTGTTCTGGCGTTCCCTTCACAAGATCTAATGAGAATTTTAATTTTATAAAATCCTTGTCCTTTCGCAATTCTATTCTGTACGCAGAAACTTCTGCAACGTATGTTTGTATATGCTTGGGAATATCATTTAACATATCCATTACAAGTGACTTCCAATCGAAGTTATTAATGGGATTTAAAAGAGGATTCAAAGTCTGTAAATTGATATATTTTATTACACATAAGCATATATAATACAATTGTTTCTTTATTAAAAAAGTAACAAAATAATTCTACCACAAATGAATTTTAATCTATGCTTTTATATTACAATTTGTTCTATTGAGTAATAAATCGAGAATGTAATGTATCATAATATAATTAAAAGATTAAAATTAATTCGAGCACCTCACATTTGTGAAACATAGTTTCATCTGTCAAAGTTTCCATCCAAAGTTCTATTAAATCTGTCAAGAGAATCTTCCATGAATCTTTTTCCTCCGTAAAACAGATCATGTAGTCTTTGTCATCAATTTTAACACTTTTCCAAATTCTGCCCTGCTCCGAACAACTTGGAATCATATTTACGAACGATAAAATAAAAGAATTGGATAAAATTTCTTACAGATATACAAGTTATGTATTGCACAATGAATAGGTTATCACGCAACTTATCCAGATTTTTCTCAAATTTAATATGACTTCATAGTATCGTTACAATAAATTGTCAAATACATAAGTTTTTTGTATCAATTCCCTTCAGATATCAAATTTCAGAAGTATATTTCTAATATCAATATTATATATCTCGTTGTTTTATTCATATTTTCCATTCTTAGCCAAGACTCAAACCATTTTAACCAAGGCTCAAACCATTTGGTCAGTCGAGCCGAAAGAGAAAGAGTCTAAGGGGTGATGCTTATTCTGTTTCGCACGTATATCCACTATAAAGATCCATTTTCATGAGACATGCGCTTGAAAATTTCAATCAGTGCATCCGTTCAATTGCATCTGTGACGTTTTACTATTAAATGTCAGAATGACTAGTGTAAATGTATTTGGCTTTGAGCTTTTGCAAAAATTCCATGACAATGAAATTCAGAAAAAGGAAGATGTAATAATCTTATTTGTACACTGGTATCTGACAAAATCTGGGTTTAAATGCATCGGTATTGGAGATGAAGTAAGTCCTAACCTAAATATCAAGTTTGTGTATTTATATATTACGAATATTCTGAAAACAACTTCTGAATTTTTAAATTTTTTTCGTAGAATATGACTGAAGGATTAGAAGAAGGATCTGACTTGCTTCCCGAAAATTGGAACTTACACGCCAATTATACATTACGCTATGTAATAAATGGGAGATTATTTGTACTCATTGGAATCAAATCAAATGTGGATCTGCTTATGAATTTTTTGGTAAATAAGAAACAAGTTGTCCAAAATTTAATTGATTAAAATAGGTTTATTATGATGTTATTATATACTTATTATAATATTTAATACTGTTTTTATAGGAATATCACGAAAATACTATTACTAATATTCAGTTTCCTATCGAGAAAACTGTGTCTGCATTGCATGGGCCTTTAAAGACCATATTACCATCTTATGAAGCAATGTTACGTAGCATAGATAAAGATTTTGTATCCAAAGTATATATTAAGACAGCAGATTCGACAACTCAAACAATCAATGAAACCAAACCAAGCGAGGCAAGTTCTACGGCAGAAACTACATCTACAAGACATGAGGGTTGTAATTCATCAAACTGTTCTTACAATCAGCCATCATCACTTCGGTAAATTATTTTATTTTTTCTTTTATCTATATTATTTTATTATAAGGTGAGTCACAAAGTAAAGAGATATTTAGAGAATTAAACACTTTAAAAGTCTCTTATTTTTTTACTTTTTTTAATATAATAATTTGATAATATGGATTGAAGGTAATATTTATTTCTGTCCATAGAAATCCTGCATATAACCCTTTAAGGGTAGGAGTCAGAGACCTTGATCCATTGGGAATAGGTGGTGGTATGATATTTGATCCTTTTAATAATCGTTCTTCAGTTGGACGTCATCCGGGCTTGGGAGTACCTGGAATGTTGCCACCGTACGTGTTTACGTATTTTACCGTAATGATTTATGTAGATGCCATATGTGTAAGCTGATTCTTTCTTCAAATTTAAGGATTATCTATTTAAATTATGTTACAGCGGTGCAATACCACCTGGTGCAAGATTCGATCCCTTTGGTCCGCATGATTTGAGTCAAAGACCACTTCGTCGGGATCCCGATAATCCATTTTTTTCTGGTGATCTAATTTAACAATATGTGTTGTGATGTATTTTAATATAACATGCTAAAGAAAAATTTCAAATGACAAAAAAATAAATAATGCTGAGGTTCTTCGCACACTATAATACGTTTAATATATTAATATATTACGTCTAGAATAAGATTAGAAATCTTTATTTTTACAGTACATGTCAGAGTATGAGAATTATTATAAAACATTTTCTTGTTTTCTTTTTCTTGACAAAACAACTTTCATTCTTTTTATTTTATTTCAGTTTACAATATAACAAAATTCAATTTAACTAAAAATGATTATATATTGATGGGTAGGAAATTACATTTAGAAATTAAATAGTAACCTTTTTTTTTTAAATTGCGCTAACACATTACTTTTATTTCTTGCATAATCAATTTTATAGGGAGTGATTGTTCTTATTTTATTATATCGGTTCAAAATAGAGGATTTCTTTGCTATCTAAGTTGCTCTTGCTTCAATTATATTCACATTAGACATGTAATTGAACGTAAATTGACTTTATCAACACATAAAATTATTGTATTATTTAGATTTACATTAAGTAGCTATTAAAAAAGAAGAGCTATTTTCACTACAATTGCATTCGCGTTTTATCGAGAATATTAATCATAAGAATAATAATTTTCGCAACAATTCGATTTATTTCTTCGAGGAATAAAATATCCCACGGTAATTAAATATTGTTTATGGGTAAGCATTATTGCACAACGAAACAATTTCTACATGTTAAACTATTATTTAACATTTAATTTAAAATAAAACAACAATGTGCATAATTTTCTACATAGATTTTCTGTCAGCGCTATTCTTAGCATCACAGTTTCAATAAGTACAACCCTCGTTTTATTTTACTTTTCAACCTATGCATTTTTTTATGCACATAAGGATAATTATATCACAAATATAAAAAGAAAAACATTTCATATAGTTATTTAGCAATTTAACTACGCCTCGAAGAAGTAAATCGATGTGCAAAAGTAATAGCTAAATAATGAAAATTATACTGGTAACTTTTAAGATCATACCTATTTTGTTACGAATATCAGCATGTTTTTCGAAAGAAAAAAAAAAGAAAAAAAAACTTAAAGAACCGTTTTAATTATTATAATTGAACTAGGATTAAACAATAAAAGTAATGTACTTTTGCATCTAAGATTGGATCATTTACTTTTACGAATATCCCTCGTCCCATCCTCTGGTAAAAAATATTGCAGTTTTTTTTAATATTACAAAAAAGGAGATGTACCAGGTTCAAATTTCAATCCGAGTCTGCGATCGTAGTGAATGTATTCCATTGTCACTTGTTAAAAAATACGTACGGAAAATTTAAATTTCTTCATCGCTCGTTTGATAGTTAAGTAATCGCAATTATCAATCCATTGTGTTTTGTGACTGTGCAAGTAAGTTGCCAACATGATTAACAAACATAACAACGCATAATCATTGTTGTCGCATTCTGTAATACAACAGAATGATTATTTCATAACAATTAAACTCGGTTGGTCGAATGTAGCAATACACATAAACCAGACCTCAATTGTTGTGTGATCGTTGTGCTTATGTTAATTTCATTTCCGGAACGCATCCATTGTTAAGCGGAACAATCAGAAGCAAAGAATACATACAAATACAAAACAACGTACATTCACATGAAATCAGCAGACGCGCGTGAAATGTTTTAAGTATTACATTCGTTATTTTACGAGTGAAATTTTTCTATCCTTTGAACACAGTTTAGTGTGGCGTGCAGCATCACTGACAATTTTACCAAAATAGAAGACGACGATGACTTTACACAAAATGCTTGTATCAGCTTGAAAAATCTATTTTTGACTAAAAGTTAGATATGCAAAGATTTTGGTGAAATTGTCGTTGAGCTATGATAAACGTGATATACAGCTCTGGAGTGACTTACTTCACATTAATTTTTCATTATCCATCATTCAAGTTAACGCAGATTCCAAGTCCAATAAGAGTTAAGAACACTCATCAGCAATTCGGCATGCCATTGGAAATGCAACGCAATATTTGTTGTTTCTCTTTCGCCGTTTAAGTCACTTTCAAAATCTTTCAAGACCAGAAATATTCCAAATATTTAATACTGCGATTTACGCATATTATTTCATATATTAAATATTCGTTTCAAGTATATCGAAATATGTTATCATATTAACTGCTTCTATCTAATAAGATTTTATTAATACTTAATTAAATTAAAATAAAGTTTGTAATAATGTATGTTCCGTAATATTTATAAAAAAAAAAAAGACAGAAATTCAGCAAATCGCAATGCTGTTTTTTTTTAAATTTGATGCTTATCAGTATATGTCATTATTCTAAAATTGATAATGCTTGACGGTTTTCTGATTCATTATAAATTTAATGCCGAGTATTTCAGAATCTCATATTTTGCGAGCGATCGACAGATTATATTTAAAAAAACTATCAGTTAATTATTTAAAAAGAATACATGTATATATGTATCTTTTTTCTATTTCAATTACTGCAAAAAATGTATATAAAATTTTTCTAAAGAACAGTATATTTATAATAGAATATTATATATTCAAGGCAGACAGTGTTAACATATTTTCTTTAAAAAGAAATATAATTAAATGTTAATTCTAATTCAGATATTCCTACGTAGCTTCATATCTTGTATAAAAACGTATTTACTTTTTCATAGCATTCCCAAAATCTAGAGTTTACGAGTATTACTCAAGGTATTACACAATGTACATAACATTTTGTAATAGCAAAGAAATTTCAAATTATATATCCATTAAAAATTTTGTAAATTATAATTTTTTGACGTTTGTATATTTCACAAAAGAACATATTATTTGTTATTTCGACAAATTATAACAAACTAGTGTACTACATAGATTATATTCACTACGACAATATAACCTTTCTTGATAGAATAATAAATTAATTATTGAATAAAATTATTTAAAAGAATTTTTCTCTTTCAAGAAAAAGAATATATTGCATACTATAAATTTCTAACATCTACGAACAAATCACATACGATAATTTAGTAGAACTGAACATAACAACAGTATAGTCGATTGCAAGTGTTATTTTTTTCTTAAGGTTATTACCATTTTAATTATTAATTTTGCCCATTATGATCAATATCAGTTAAGTATCAAAAATAAATTTGATTTTCATAAAAAAAAAATTTAGCAACGATTTGTCGCGTTTTTTTTGATGATTTTTCTCAGAATGTAGTATTAAATATTCCCAAACATGCCTCAATTAATTGATACTAATCACGGTTGCATTTCCATTGATAGGCCATTCAGAACAAATTTGCTATAATATGCCACTGGTCAGGCGCAAAAATCTATACATTTATACCAATCAGTATGAATTAGTGACATTTCATTTTCTTTTTTTTTCCATTTTCAAAAAATTCTTTGATTTATTGGATACAGCAAGAATTTTTTTGTCCGTTTTTGAGCTTCAATCGAGACTTGGGACGATATTTTTCAAGAAAAGTTAATTGCTTTGCGTTTATGGCGCCTCGTCTTTTCCTGGAACAAAGAGAATCAATATTAAATTCTGGAGAATCTTAAATAAAAGATTAGAAAGTATTTTTATTTAATGCTATGATGCATTTTAATGATTAAATTGAAGATTATACGAAGTACCACACACGAAATTACTTACTCTCTAATAAGGGCAACAGCATCTTCATACTTAAGTCCAAGTTCAATGAGAGCTACTGCAACCAAGACCGGTGCTCTACCGAGACCTGCGACACAGTGCACTGCCACACATGCGTCAGGTGATTCCCGGAATCGATTCTTTAACAATTCGAACCATTCATCCACCACCTAGAAATGGAATGTAAATTAAGCATGAAAAAGAATAATTTATTCGTTCGTGCCTTTGAATATTGAAAAGTACACGTGAAAATTTACCTCACTTGGTGGAAATGTACCATCGTCAAATACCAAATCAACCACATTGATCCCCTCTGATTTAAGTTCCTCGACTTTGTACGTTGGTTCGCAGACTCTCACCACCTCCTTTACATTGTGCTTCTTCAGTTCCTGTTAAAGAAACAAAATCGTGCAAAATCGTGTTGAGAATGAACGCAAGCAGCTCAGTTTTTTGCATACTAACTTGAATAAAAGTATGGATCGTTTGATCATTGGGCCGATCGGTAATGAGGAACTTCATGTTTTTGTATTCAATCTCGGCGGGCGCCGGTCTGATATCCTTCACCCTCATGTTGCTCATTGCCTTCTTAACCACAGAGATGATTAATATATCTACCCCCTTTTTTTTTTTATTGTTTTTAACTCTTAAAGATCTTATATCTGGTCTCTTTCGGAGTCTCGTAAGTGTGCCGCACCGTACGAAACGACAAAGACTGGATTTGACAACTTAGCCCATTAAATGTCAGTCTTATAAAATTGTTTCTCATTTAGCTAATAGAATATCTTATTTTTTTACAGAGGACAGAACCGTGGATTTACATGTAGACCTTAGGAAGGGTTGTCGAGATGCGAACTTCGCCGAAAGGGTAAGGGCTACGTTACATTAGGCGGTGTTGATATGCGCTTTACTCTTCCCACTTGAGACCTTTAGACTATGATTCGCGGAAGATTACCTGGAATCAGCGCAGCATACAGATGAATATACTCCGCCGCGGGTTCACGTTACGGTTTAGCTTAGAAACTACCACTCACCTATTTGGCACTGGGTGCTCCTGTGACAGGTGCGCTCAGTAACTACGATGCTTGCATCTACTAATGTAAATTAATAATTTCTACTAAATTCTTCTATCTTGCGCGATGACTAGTTGATGATTTATCTGACTTCCCCGGTGATGATTCTTCTACTTTAATATCCTTTCTTTCCTCTCCCTCCAAGATGTTTCCACCCTTCTTCTTTCTTCTTTTTAATAGTATCTAGTAATTGTTAGGGATTGTATCGGGCGTGTCTCTCTATTTGTGTTGAGCCTGGCAGTACTCTGCGCTATCCAACTGAAACTCCATGTATGTGAGGATGCACTCACCAGGAAACTGTAACAGAGAAGCCCGAGATGAGAATACGTGTCTTGTCCGCGTGATAAAATAATTATTTAAAAACCCCGTGCTATTTCCGTCGTATTCGCGCATAACAATAGCATCTTTTATGACCACCGATAATAACCGAGTCGCATGTCCGATGTCATCTCTCAAGCGTGCCTCACATTTTTATTTATTTATTTATAATCATTCTATTTTCTCCACTTCGATAATACGCAAGGATTAATTTTCGAAGCACAGTTCGCTCTTACTTTTCGCTCTAAATTAAAGCTATTTCGTGGAGAGGAAAACTTGTGTAGGCACAGACAGCGCCCGGAGAATATGCTAAAATGATGTTCGAACAGGAGGAATACTGATGTTAAGTCGCAATTTCTAGTTGTCCTGTGCCAAGCTCACGTTGTTTCGCGTGCGACAGCGCGCGTAGTAGTATAGTATTAGTTGACCTCACGATCTTTCGCCGAGACCGATTTGCGAAAGTTCCCTTTTGCGTAACACACTGTCGCCGATATCGACGACTGACGAGCGCGCCAATTGATTGACGGAATAGAGCGTGACCGGCCGACATTCGGGCATATGCAACAGAATAACCGAAATAATTGGCAGGTGGGAAGAGAAGCCGGAGCGAGAGGAGCGCGGGCTTTGTGCCTCGGGAAACACCGCCAAGGCCGGATCTATCGCGACCGCACCAATGTCAGCGTCGCCCCGCCGTCGTAATCGCCGGCGCCAAGCAACGAGCGGATTCGATTGTACTTTATTTCTCTATACACGCCGTCGGGCATGTATTAGCTATAAATGAGAAACGGCTACATGGAAATTTCCAATGAGAAATCGCTGAAAAATTTATTCCGCACGCGACATTATTCCGAAGCGTTTTGACACTGAAAATTTTAGACTCGCATTGTAACGATTGAGAAACGCTCGACTGGCCAATGGACACCACGCGATTGTACGATTGATAAAAAGTTGGCTAACTTCGACGGCACAGATGGAGGTCATAAAAGGACTTGAGACAAAAGAGAGATCCCAGAGCGAAAAGTTGCCCGAGCAAGCTTATACAACTTACTTCTTAAGTCGCGCCAATCGTAAAAATAACGTTCAAATGCGCGGAAATTTCATTAATATTACGTATTGGAGAATGAATTCGAATCAAGAGCGTTTATTCATTTTTTTCTTTGGGAAATACCCAAGTATGAATTATATGCCATCTAAATGATTTGTATGTCTATTAAAAACTTCAACTTATGTAGAAATACCAAATGTGTTACCTAAAAACGTTTAAAATAACTATTTGCGAATTATCATATCGGAAGCTTTCGATAACAGTTGTTTCACTATCAATAATTAACGTCAACGTTGGAAAAAAAAAAAAACATAAAAAGAGGTAAGAAGCGTATTTTGACAAGTGTTTTTTCCGTAAAACTAGAATTGATCCAATACTTACAAATTTACGCAGCCGTCCGACGATTATAATATTTACTTCACTCAATCAATGCATTGTAATATATTTTCACAATGTTTTTCGGAAATGTTAGCGCAATATCGTCGCAATCTTGTCGAAATTTTACAATTCCGTATCTCTGCAGTATTTTGCCGCAATTTGTAAAGTTGCAATGTTTTACAGCAATATACGGCTAAAAGGTCCTGCGCTGTACACGAAAATTTGCATGATCGGAACTAATAGAAATATTTCGAGCACCGTGTTCTTATATTCATCATCGAAGTCACAAGACTGACGACGTATGGATCCTGTCGTAGTAAACAAAATTCTATTTGCGTATAGTTACGTCTCAAACGAGCTATAGATCAAACTGACAAACGAAAAACAAAAATTATTCGCGTCAGTCATTCTGTCCATGCAACGGAAATTCCTATGAGAGTATTATTTTTATATTTTGCTCTTACCACGTCATTTTTTACTTTAGTTTTGACTCGCATTTGACTAAAGATACTCGTTATCACTTATTGATTTTCTCATTTTTTGTGCTTTATTTTACACTTTTTTTTCCTTTTTACTGCAATTTTTGTAAAGTACTGATATCTTTCTCTGAGCAAAATACACCTGCCCTTTCTTACATTTTTAACGTAACAAAAGTTTCCACGTTAGAATAAATATATTATTTACACTAAATCTTTTTACTCTTTTATACTACCTGCTTGAAAAATGAAATACTTGCACAGGGTTTATTCGACATATGGCCAGACTATATATATATGAGGCAAGAGAAATCGTGGGTCAGGAGTCAGGACAGATATATCCAGCTGAGCGATAGAAAAATTTATCTGTTTCTACTAACTACCGAAAAAACATTACGAATGTTTGTCCCTTTTTTTAGTTTCCACTATTTACCGGAAGCAGAAGATTTTGCAACATTTTGTAACATTAAAGCACCTAATTTTACGAATAATTCAAATATGTTAAATAGAATGACAATGCGCAGTACGAAATGCGTATCGATGGTAAACGCTAACTGAAATCTCGTGAGAATTCTATTGCAAAGCGTTGCATAATTGTCGCGAACGACATCGATAAATTTATGATTCGCGCGAGATATTACGCACTTTTCTCGCGAGGGAAAGAAAAATCACTCAAGTGTCCTGACGAAAATAAAATATAAAGCTAATCGTTTGTTTCCTGACAGTTTCAGTGAGAAAGTATCGTGTAAATAAATAGCTTGTCAAATAAAAAATAAAATGCGCGAAAGATTTTTAGAAAGACTGCCGAGTGGCGGCGTCAAAAAGACGATTTTCTTATATTATTATCACTTCTGCGTCTCTCCCACGATTGTCAAACACAAGTTATATCGATATAATGTTACTCTCTTCGACAAACAGCTATGATGTACGACGGCGTGCCAATTTTCGTCCAAATAGAATTGCTTACCTTTGCCGCGGTACTATATTTATTTCGAAAACACGTGAAACTCAGCGGATTCCATCATCAGCCTTCGTTCTATAAACGAATCGTCGCTTTCGACAGTCTCGCGGCACTGCACCGCCTTTATCGCGCAATACTTGCAAACTTTCAAATATCGATAACAGCACTGCTATTCTTCACGAGAAAAAATTCGCGTGAACTGGAAATAAATGTTTCTTCTTGACCACAAAATTAATAGAATCTTACTCTCGAGAGAAGCTGTGATATCCTCTTGCACGTGACAAAAGCGTGAAAAGCGACAACTTTCTTGTTTATATAAAATTTATGTAATGAATTTATGTAATGAAAAATAAAGATTGACACGAGATCTTTATATAGAAAGATCTATGAATGTGTAACGTTCGCAATGTGTTTAACAGCGTTTTATTTTAAGATTCGAAATTTATACGAAAATCAGCACGAGCATCTCCCGACATATTTGCAAGCGATTCCTTTTACCTTCCACTCATTTGACGAGAAGTCCGTAGAGTTCGAAGTCACGGAAGCGTTCTAAATAAAAATCTAAGTTTAAAACAATGTCACATGTCGTCACGCGGTCATCGGTGACAGGGTGACGAAATCACTGCACCATCACCAGAAAGTCGCATCTTAATAAACGCGCGCGCGTGCACTTGCGCGAAATCGCCTAAAGTTCATTACTTAGGACGCAACAAGGTCGTGCGCCGTTCTTCTATCCGCGCAGTCCCGCGGCTGTGAAAGATGAGCGCGTTTAGCTCTAAGCGTGCACTTTGCAGACGCGAAGACGGGGATCCTCCGCCGATTGTCGCGCGAAACGCGCACTCGACTTGTCGCGATTAATTAATATTCTTTGTACGGCTTATTGGAGAACACTCGACTCGCGCGTCGCGCGAAAAGCTGATCGGAGCGATGCACGAGTAATATTCTGTCGACACGGGAGCGAGGCGTGTCGGAGCAGCGGCGTGCCGTGAGGCCCAGCGCGAGCGCGAAGATGATATCGTTGTGCCGATTGCACGTCGAATCTGGGCCAGCCGCGGCGCGATGATCAAAATAGCGCGGCGTCGAGACATCCTTCCATCGAGCGAGTAATCGTCATCTGATCCCCTCCCCGACGCAACACGCGCGTACTTACACGCACGCACGCACGCACGCACGCACGCACGCACACCAGCGTCGCGCTCCGCAACGTAATGCCGTCCGAGTTTTACATGTCTTTGCAATAGTAACATTCCGTTTTTTTACGGCGTGCGGTTGCCCGATGGAAGCCCGCCTTGTATCGAGCGTTGATGATGAATGACGATGGTCGTTATTATCGATCATCGTTATTATGTGCCATTGTGTAAACATCACGTTTCCGATCCCTTTGCAGCAGGGAAGCATATGTATTTATGTCATCTTTGTTTCGTCTGAGAGTTTTATGGCACTCCGGCAATTATGGGACTCGTGAACGAGAAAAAAATACCATGATTCGTGAATCGTCAATCGATTAGAAAACCGATGCCGGTTTCTGCCGATTAACACGTGTCGATTAATAGTTAATAAAATCGCGCGATTACAACCGCCGTACGGTCTAAATAAAACGAAGATTATTAACCGCTTGAAGTTGCACGCTATTGCATGGGATTGCATAAGGTTGCATAGATCCTTCACTGTGCTGCGCTACGCGTAAGCCCCGATAACTTCGTAACGATTGTTGCGTCGAAGCGTCTTTTAACGACGTTCTCCTTTTCTTTTTTCTTTTTTACTCCGACGCCACGCGCATATTTATGCATCTGACATAAGTCGGGCGGGAAGGCATCCCGCTGAAGTATGGAAACGCCGCCGACTGATTGGTAGGCGCGCGCGACATTCACGGTCATTCTCGCCGCACGACGGAGAGAAAATAAGATCGCTTGAATGACGTCAAAACCTGTCGAATCAGATAAATTACTAGGTCGTTTCAGTAGCGTACGCGCTGTGCACTTTGTTGCGCGATATACGCGCGACTTTCGATGTGCAGCTCCGTGCGAACCGTTCCGCTGAATTACGAATCGATATGCGTACCGCTAAAAAAAAACTCCTTCGATACGCGCTAATGATACCCGTCAGCATCGCGGTCGTTTTACATACACCGAGATGTAATATCCTAGTACCGCGCTTAAAACCGCGCGTCCTTCGAGCACGAAACGTTTTCCGCGAACATAACGGAAATGATTAAATGCACGACAGCTTGTTGAACGTTACAGATAATCTGCTGTGACCGTACATATTCACCGTTAATTTTCCGAAAGCTGATAAGATGACGAGGAAATAATACGTGTGATTATTATGAGATAAGCCCGCGACCAAGCGCGTATTTTGCAAACAAATTGGTGATGTCACCAGAAATCAATACAACGAGCACAGCCAAACAGAAGGCATCGTGACGTTCAACTGTGATGTCACATCGTCATTCACGTGGGAAATGTACGTGACAATACATGCGCAAATTTAATGACTGGGAGAGCGTGTATATTTCGCGTGCTGCGGACTGAAAACAGAACAAAAGCCGTTAAATCTTCGTTACCGTAAAATACAAACAGTAACGTATTGTCAATAGTCCGCGACAATATGTATTGCATTTGTTCCGTGTGTTTCCACACCGAGAAAAAAAGTTGTTAACATAATTCAATATATTCATAAATTAATATCATTAATATCATTATTTCTTTGGTTCAGATAATTATGAATTTATACATATCAAACATTGGCGACGTTGATATTTGCAAATATGTAAAATTAACAATAAACGGTTTCGTTCACGTGTTTCGTACTCAATTAAAGCCTGTAAATTTTAGAGTTGTGACCACACACAGCGTGTAATCAATCTGAAAAGCGATTATTCTGAAACAAATGTATTTCATAATAAGAAATAATGTTAGATTGTAAATTTTGCTAGTAAAATAATTATTTTTTGTCGCTTCGTGTGCATAAAAGTATGCGCGAAAAGATTTTTTAAACTTATATTCTACATATTTTCGATGTATATACCATGCCATTAAATGTCTGCGCCATTTTCGATTTCAATTCACCCCTTCTTCAATGCCAACTGTTCCTATTGTCAACTTTTCCAGACGACAATAGGACGGGGTTGAACGAGCCGTAGGGTGATGAACCGCACACATTAGGCATCGTTCATAACGGCACTCGGCGCAAACTTTTTCATCTATTATGCTGGAATTTTTCCGTTATTCCAAAGCAATTAATAGTTTGTTAAAACCAAACAATGGCGAAAATAAAAAATGCATTACCGCGCAAAAGTTTGGAATTACTCTGTGAATTTTAGACGAAGCCAGATATCAATAATTTACAATATTTACTTATCAACGTGGACTTGAAGATCGTAACACTAAAAAGTTATGTAGATATTAAGCATTAGAATTTTAAAATCGATTAAATTATCTTTCCACGGAAAGACAATATTAAATCTGCGCCATGTGGTACAATATTGGCGCAGAAATTCGATGCAAAACTTAATCAGATTGCCGAGATTCTATCAGATAATGAAATCGAGGAAAGAATTATTCTTCTCTACAAAGAAAAGTTAATCAACTTTACTTGCTAATACTGTAAATATATTTTACGATATTTCGTCTAATGGAAATTCGATTTTATCAGCATTTATAGTAGTTACAGAGTAATTGTTCTCTGGCTTACGGAGACGTACTTTTATTCATCGCAAAAGACGCAGCACGGATAATGAAAGCGGTCGCTGCACGAGAGGTCTCAGGTGCACGTTAAAATCGATATTTCAAGTAGGTCAGTAGGTTACCAGGCAAAGAATGATAAGAAACCACCTGGAACTAAGAACCGCCACCGCAAGTGACACAAAATGCCGTCTCGCCGCGAGCAAATAATGCAACCAAGCGTTCGCGTTCCCCAGTGATTAATTTATATTACAAATTTATTCGTCAAATTCTGAATATAATTCCAAGTGAATTTTTTTTTTACCTTTGTTGCAAAATTAGCAACAAGAAAAAAACCATATTTCTCTCGTGTGCGACAAACCGTGCGTAAACTTATTGTTAAACAACACGATGCTCGGTGTGGCGGAATGTGAAAGTGCGAGTCGAGAAATAAAGCTACGAGCGAACCTTCCCTTTTTTGCACATCCGAACACGAACGCCAACGGAGATTTGCGTAGCTCCCCTTCGAAAAACCTCAGCCGGTCCCGCATCGGCCCCGCAGACATTAGCAATCGTTATCCTAGGTCAGCGACACCGGTCGTCCACCCTACCGTCTCGTCTGGCGTCGAATATCTTTCTTGTTTCATTAAACAGCCGCTCCGCCGGCGAGGGTTACCATTTGTCGCGTCCTTTGGAAATCGACTCGGGACAAGATATTCGATCCGCTTAAAAAGCCTGCGACGGAATGATATTTTACGAGAGTAAAATATCATTCCCGATATTACTTTTCAGCAAACGACCGACGGACGTTATTCACACTTCGTCTGGCGTCTCTGGTTGGAAACTATTTCGAGTTTTCGTATTTTTAAGAATGCGCGATTATAATTGTGATATAATTGTATCACAAATGTACACAAAAGTCGATTAGATTTTTGCGACGAACGCAAACACGCAAATCCATTTATAAGAACCAAGAGACTCGTTAATTGCCAAGTTCGCTGAATCGCGAACGACGCTCTACAAACTCACGAGCGCGATTCGCTCGGGACGGCCACGCGCCTAGAAACGTGCGCGTGTGATGATTCATTCCTGACGTATTTGCGGAACGCGAACAAAACGTGAGATCGGTATGGTTTGACGCCGACGTCTAATTACGCTTTGCGCAACAACGCGCCAATTAATCGCCACAGCTGGCGGTCTTCCCAATTTTATCCGAAATTCTTACGCTCGCAATGTCCGCAGAGGAAGCGAGTTCTGAGGCAGCGGGGATTTATGCGCACGGATGAAGGGCGCATGGTCGATCGCGCCCAGACGCTTTGTGAAAGATATACAACACGACGATGGTGGTCTATTTTCGATGCTCTTTGTTTTTGCTCCGCGAGTGTGTTTTGTCTCATGTTGCAACGTACAGCAATGAGACCGGGGGGAGGGCAAGGGGAGGGCGAGGGGAGGGGTCACATGGCGCTTTCGTGATGCGTTCGTGTGCCGAGGGGAACTTAATCCGAGCCACGGTAAGAAGCTTCCTTATCGCACGCCTGTCTCGAGCGGCCTAACACAATGTTACATAAATTGATTCCACAACGGACATAAGTGGCTGGTGCGCGTGGGATCGGTTTACGAGCGCGCGGACAATTGCACTCGGTCAGCGCGAACGCGTGTCTCGTGTTCGCCGCTGAATTTTGCGAAAGGGCGGCGCGGTATCGTCTTTCCGATCCCTCGATCATTTGTCCCCGTCCAATCCTGCCTGCGGAGAGAGACGCGAGAACTCTCGATGCCTGCGCAACAAGATGGATATCGCTTAACGATAATAAAGGACCGGCTTCATAGACAAGACGGCCAGAGATTACGAACGTTTATTTTTTCATCCGTCGCGCCGAGGCGAGAGCCATTTGAGAGCCTGCGTGAGAACGGGGAAAAAAAAAAAGTGACTCCTTGAAATCTCGCCAGTTGGAAGCAATTCACCCGCAACGTTCCCAGCGAACGTAAAAAAAAGGGGAAAAAAAGGGACACTTTTTTCCAACACTGAAAATAATATTGGAATAGCGCTGAACTTGTTTAATCGCGGCAGTCGTCACGCGCAAGTGTGTTCAGACTTGAAAAAAATCTTTAACAAGACGCGCAGGACACAATAAACGTGTGTCTCTCTCTCACGTTGTATTCGGTAGCAAGTACGGCCCTGCCATCGTCTTTGCTGAATCGTCCTTTGCCTCGAGCCACACGTATCGGCTCGCAACCGGTCTAGTCGAGATAGTAACACTATCCTACACGTGGCGAGGCGTGAGCGGGGGGAGGGGGGAGGGGCGGTTGCGTAGCCGGAAAGAAAGAAGAATCGGTCTCGGACTAATCTTGTGTGGAAACACTTTGG